TACCAGGGATTGAACTCGTGTCCTTGCGCTTGAGAGGCAGGCCACCGAACCGCTGAGCTAAATCCCTGGCCCACATCACTGTCGATTTTGAAGTGTTCTGTGTGATTACTTGAGATGCATTCAGATGGCTGTTTGGGATACCATTTGAGCAACCACGACTGTGGCAGGGATGCCCTGGCCCCACTGAGATCACAATCTCATCTTTTTTTATTTTTCTTCAGCAGCACTAGGGGTTGAACCCAAGGAGCACTGAGCACTGGGCTACATCTGCAACCCTGTTTTTATTTTTATTTTATTTATGTATTTATTAATTTTTTGGAGACAGGGTCTCACTGTGTAGTTCAGGCTGACCTTGAACTCACTATGTACCCCAGGCTGACCTTGAACTCATGGCAATCCTCTTACCTCAGCCACCTGAGTGTTGATTTTTATTTTTTGCCTTGAGACAGGATCTTGCTACGTTGCTCAAGTTGACCTCAAACCTAGTATCTTCCTGCCTCAGCCTCACCAGTAGCTGGGATTACAGGCCTGTGCCACCAGGCTTGGCTGTCTCATGTCCATTTGTGCTCCTGCCTGCCCACCAGCTTTGTGGACTCCATTCTTCCATCTCCTGCTGTCCCTCCAGCCTGTGCTGATGCTCTCCCTCCCTGGACCAGTCTCCCTGTACATGTGTCTGGTTCATTCTGGACCACCTTTCAGCTGCCTGGCTCCAGAATCCCTTCCTCAAAGCTTCCCCCAAACATGTGCTCACCAGGCAAGTCAGAACCCTATTCTTGGGCAGAGTGGTTATTGAAGTTGACTTAAGTGCCTGATGGAGAATGCAGTTTACAGCCGCATCTCCCCCAGCACCTCAGCCCCACAGTGAAGGAACTGTGGCAGTCTCAGTCGCAGCCACGTCTCTTAGGGACACGGTGCCTGGTATGGGATGGGTGTTCAAGGAGTACAGACCTGAACAGGCCTTCCTGGTGATGGGGAAGATGTTCGTCCTAATTTCAAAACCTGAGTGCTGGGATACAACTGCCTGCGTGTTCTGGAACAGTACTGAGTCTTTCTCTTTCTCAAATGCTCCCATCACCCATTTGTAGCATTATTTGTTTTATTATTTAGTGTGTGTGTGTGCGCGCGTGTGTGTGTGTGTGTGTGTGTGTGGTATTGAAGATTTAACCCAGGGCCTCACCCATGCCAGTCATCAGTCTACCACTCTGCTATAGCCACAGCCCTGTATTTTATTTCACTTTATTTTATTGAGTGCTGAGGATCCCAGGGCCTCCTGTATGCTAAGGCAAGTTCTCTACTACCAAGCTACATCCCCAGCCCTTGTAGGGTGTTTATGCTTTTATTTTTATTTATTTTTTATTTTGAGACAGGGTCTCGCTCTGTAGTCAGGCTGGCCTTGAACTCAATATGTAGCCTGGGCTGGCCTTAAACTAAAGGTGATCCTCCTACCTCAGCCTCCTGAGTTCTGGGATTACAGGCGTGCATATTTTTGGCATATCTTTAAATGTATTTTTAAATGTGTGTCCTTTAAGAGGAAAATCTCACATCTGTACTTGTAGGACTCGAAGGGCCCACAAAGTCTTGCTGGTTTGAATCAGAACCTGAGTAGGAAGCTAGCCTGGTATCAAAAGGATAGTAATTCTCCTGGTACGCATTTTCATTCCAACATTTATTACTTCCTTCGTTAGACACTGTGTTGGGTGCTGCTATCCTAAAATGACCAAGGTCATAGAAAGGAATGAAGCCCTGGTATATGTTATAATGAGAGAAACCTGCAAAACACGATGCTAAAGTTAAAGAAGCCATGTACAAAGGTCATGCGTTCATTTCCTGCACCACTGCCACTACTTATTAAGCAAGAATAGCAGAACACGCTATCATCATCTGCTTTTGTTGCCCAGAGAAATTGTAGTGAAGAAATCTGTTTTTAAGGGCAATGGTTTTGTCTTTACCTTTCTACCTCAAGGGGAATCTAGGCCAAAATGGAAGAGCCTTGGACTTGTGAGCTGATGTGAAATGCAGATCCTCTGTTGAGTTCTGAGTGTTTTGAAGACTGAAAAATCTTGCTCAGCGTGCGTAGCCACCAAAAAGCAATCTAAAGCCATCTTTGTGTGACAATGAGAGAAACTGGGGAGTTTGCTGTCTATTGAAAAGTAAAATGCATTGTCTTGAAGAAAAACAAGGAGGCACATGAAATACTTAGAAAAGGAAAGAGACAGAAGGCAGACTGGTGGTTGGTAGGTCCTGAGGAAAAGGGGAAATGGTAACTTCTTAGTGGACGTGGGGTGTCTTTAAGTGGTGCAAATGTCTTGGAATTAGATAGAGGTGGGGATTGCACACCACTGTGAATACTCTAAAAGCCACTGAATTGTTTATTTTAAAAAGTTAATTTTATGTTAAGTGAATTGTACCCTAATTGTTTTTATTTCTTAGACATTACTACTCTGCTATAAAGAAGGATAAACTGTAGGAAAATGGATGCACCTCGAGACCATAATGTTAAGTGAAATAAATCAGGCACACAAGCTTAAATGTCACATGGTTTCTCTGACATGAGAAACCCAAAGCATAAAGAAATGAAAGAGCAAAATAAAAGACAGATGATAGGAAACAGGGAGACAGATCTTTTGTAAAAGGGAAGGGGATCAAGAGATAGAGAGAGGGAGAGGAGGGGAAGGGAACAAAAAAAGACTTGAAATATATTATGTACACGGGGCAACTCTGCACCATGAGTGTAATCATTATGTACTACAAACAAGCACTAATAGAAATAAAAATTAAAAATAAACAAATAAATAGTCGAGCAAGGAAACACAGCAATGCGGCTCACAGCAATGTGTTCATGCCTCCTTAGACTTCGCCTTTGCAGAAGGAGGGCTCTCAGCAGCCTGGCCTTGATAGGGGACAGGAAGGTACAGAAAGAGAAACTCAGAGGACACTAAAGATGCTTTTCACTTACAGGCTTGGACTTTACTTCCCAAGAGGAGTGCAAGATAGAACAAGAACACCACAACCCACATGTGATCTGCCTCGATGCGGAGCACCTGTGCTATTAATTGCCTGTGATCTGGCTCTCCTCTGTACTGCTGCCCTTCACTCTGCTCTCCCTGAGACGGAGGGGAGAGAAGGCCCCACCTATGTGAAAGGAGGAAAAATCACACCTGAAAAGCCACGTTCAATGAAAACCAGAAGCAGAATTACTTCCTCTCACTAGCTCCACAGGAAAAACCGACGGCTCTGAGCACCGAGCCCTCTTCTCAGACAAGTATGGTGAAGTCTTTCAGCCAATCCTGCGCCCTTTGAGTAGGTATCACTTGGCCGGTGCATACCCTGGACTTGGAGGGGTGGCAATGTGCAGCCATCACGTGACAGACCACTAGGAAGTTCGTGTATCCTACAGAGGGTGTTCAAGCCAGTGACATCTCAAGTGTGTCTACACTGCCCTAAACGGGGTTTGAAATTCTCAACATTAAAATTTGTTTTGTTTGTAGTTTTATGTGTGTGTTTGTGTATATACATTTTTTGGAGCAAGTATGTACATGTCAAAATATACCTTATTTAGGATGTGCACTAGTTTCACACTTTCAAAAGATTTTCTTTCTTTTTTTTTTTTTTTGGTACTGGGGATTTGAGATTTGGTATCTTCACTTTTATCTTGGAGAGCTCTGATTAAGAACTTTATGCTCTAACTTGGAAGTCTGTGGTTAGTGTGAAACTGCATATTTCTCATTGTAGTTCAGCAGAATAAAAGGATTATGTGAACCAAACTGTTTAAGATTAAAGTTTAAGGTACACCTTTACATTTATGCAAGAATTTAGAACCAAGGGAACAGGAGAAATAATTGTTTAGTAACACTGTACAAGAGGGTGACTTCAGTGTCAGTAAACTAGCAGGCTGACTTTTATTTTTATTTTTTGATACCGGGGATTGAACTCGGGTCCTTGTGCTTGCAAGGCAGGTGGCGGAACCACTGAGCTAAATCCCCAGCTCCCAGCAGGTTGACTTTTAGCAATGGGGAAAGGGATTGGAGGAGGGGCAGGAACAGGAGAAGAAGTAATGAGAATGAAAATAATCAAAATATGTTA